AGGATATGCAGAAAAACCTGKCTGAACAGGGGTTATTAGGTATGGGTGCATGGTGATTAAAACCTGCTCAGGCACAGGTTCGAGGCTGGCTTTTTGAAGGTTGCTAAAGGACTGCTCCGAGGTTGACATGTTCTTTCAGGACGTGGTTCTGGGGAGGGCACCTGGAAGCCACTGCTGCTGAATGGCAGTTTGGACGTGGCACCTTTGGTTGGGGTGAGAGCAAGCTGGTGTCAGTGTAGACAGGCAGTAACATCTCTCCTCTCCCTGTTCAACTTCTGAGTAAAAACACTTGATCCTTTTCTCTGCCCTGTTGTCTTCTCCATTTGTCTGGCTTTTCTTGCACATCTCATGGAGCCCTTTCCTCTTCTCATGGCCTCAGCTCTAGACATGAACTAAAAACCACATTTATTTSCTGATTATTGTTGATTATTGGAAAATACAGCTAAAAATGTTCTTTCTTACAATTACCCGGCACTGGTAGTGCTTTATTCCACAGAGTGCCATGGTTTAAGAGTATCAATACTGAGACCTTCAGCAGGTTCTTCATTTACACTTGAACTGCAATGAGACCAACCAGTGTACATGGGGCACGTACTGATACTGCTGATGCTTCTCTGTTTAAGCTTTTAATGGGTTCTGCAGGATAAATGTTTCTAAGCAGTGCAGTATTTTTCYTTACTGAAGCAGAAGGCAAATGGCATCATTTAGCATATCTTAATTGGTATGAAGGTGGATGTTTCTATTGATGTTACTCCCTTTCATTTCAAAGCACTGTTAGAGCAACAGCTTGCCAAAACCACCCCATGCTGCCTTCTTTACAYAGGAATAACTTAAATGATCTTATCAACATTTTATGGTGCTTGTTCTGATGAGGCTGTAATTTAAAAGATAGGTTCTATCATGTTGTAACAAATCACTGCATTGCAATGTGTTCTGCTGAGAACATGAAGTCCTGCACCATGACAGTGTGCCAGCACTAAACAGGTGGGCAGATTGAACATAGGTGTAGATTGCCTCTACAATTTAGGTACTTCAGGGCCAGACAGCAGCTGGGTGCAGAATAAGAGCTATGGACTGAGTCTGGACTCTAGTTTCTGCCCAAGTCCCACTCTAGATTCCAAGATCTTTCTTAAGCTGCAAGAGATTTTTTTTTTTTTTTTTTTTTGCTTTTAAAACAGCTCATTTTGGCTGCTTTCCAGCTCATGGAGTGGTTGGCGTTTCCATGTCGGCTGAGCTAAATGCTGGATTCCACTGAAAGTCTGTACATGAAACCTGAAGGAATTATTGAGCTGTAATTTGAGGGACAGGTCTTAACCCTTGTAAACAAATCAGAACAAACCAGCTCTGAGTTTCTAACAAAAATTTGGTCCTTGTTTCTCCATAAATCTGAATTTCCTATCTACAAACTCAGGATGAAAAATGATCATTTATCATATTTATCATATGAGGAAATTAAATTTGCTTGTTTGGTCATTTCTGGTCAGAACCTGGCAGCCCCAGTCTGTGTTTCATATTAAAAAATAAAAGTCACCATTTGAAACTAAAGCTAAACATTTTTAGATTATAGTTAACAATATCAAAAACATCTCTGGCAATAAAAGATAATAGCTAGCTGCTGCTAAGCAGTGCAGGAACTTTTTAACRTGAGAAGGGGATAGCTAGTTTTCTAAGAGGCCACATGAGAGATTTCCACTTAGTTGGCCTTGTAGTCTGTCCAGGAATGCCCCCCTGCTCAAAGGTTGTGGTAGAGCTGTTTAAAAATCCCTGGAGAAGCTGCYGTTGAGGAGAGTCTCCATTCGATCAGGTGTGTGCAGCCTCCCTTGGCGGTCTTGGTAGCATCTAAGGGTATCTGGATGCCACCTGATCCCTCTGCGGACACCTCTARCTGGATGTGGAAGCCAGGTCTTACACATAATACATGTGGGATTTAATTTTTCTGTACTTAGGAGTGAATGTCACTGTGTGGTTATTAGCCCTCAGTTGGCAATGGCTTCTTGGGAAGATAGGCCTTGTAACTTTTGCAGCTCAGTGGCTGCTCCAATGCAAAGTGTCTGCCATTAGCATACATAGGTGTGCATATATATGTATGTGTGTGTGTGTGTATATATATATGGATATGCATGCATACATATGTGTATGTTAATTCAGTTTACTTAAAGCTGTTCCAGTGTGCAGACTGACATAGCTGCAGCTACACAAGGATAGAAATTTCATATCCTTACAGAGCTTCATTCCATTAAAAATAAAGATAAATGATCTCTTTATTGCAAGATATACTYCAGACAGGTTACAGTTTGTCCTTTAAGTGTGCAACTGAGAAATCACATATTAAACGTGATTAAATGTACAATGACATTTATCTAAGCTCTTGCGGGCCATTAAGTTAACCTGCCCTGATATTGGCATATGCATCTATGTACAAGGATTAGTTGTGAGTTTTCCTAAAATGAAGGATGAGGTTTCAGGAGCGTAAAAAATAATGAATGCCTGTTTTATAAGCCTGCCAGTTCCTGTGATGGTGTAGTAAAATGTGCTTTAAAGGAATGAATRTATTTGCTTTCAACCTAGTGACATAAACCCTTCATAGGACAGGATGCTTGAAACTTGAAGGAGCTTAACTGTACTTTGCACGTGGACCTTTTCATTCCTGGCTTTCCTGCCTCGTCCTTGTTACCCTGTGCCTGGCAGTGCTGGCCACAGGGGCTGTCACTGCAACGGGGATCCCAAAGAGGGGCAGCTCCAGAGGCTTTGGGAAAGCAAAGGCCGCCTGGTGATATTCTGTGCCCTCCTTTATGGGTCTGTTCTCCTTYAATACAGCTAGAGGTACAGCTCTGCCATGCTTAATTGCATGTTTAATTTGTTGTTTTGGTGTTTATTTTTGTTTTTAATGTGTGCAGTGTGCATATTGCTGAAAGTTTTATTTTTATGATTTCAAGCRAACTTTGATACATGATACAGTCAAAGGGAATTCTTTTGAGCGGGATGCAGAAATTTTATTTATTGATGTAGCCCTGATGACTTACCTTAAACACTGCATTTGAGAACATTATGAAAGTCTTTGGTTGTCCCTCCTTATCTGGGCATATGCTTTTTTTTGGAGCAATACCTCTTAAGTTTATTAATACATACTTTGTTCCAAAGGTTCCCCTACTTGTTTCTGAAGCCTATGCAAAAAATTAACTTGGATAGAAAGTCCAAATGCAGCGTATTCTATTACAGGGGCAAGCAAGGCATCCAGCATGACTTAGACAAGGGTGAAGGAATGTTCCTATCCAAAGCAGCTGGAAAACACTGTTGTGTAGAAAGGAGTTTTGGAAATTCTCGTAAATACCAAGCAGCGTGCGCAGACTTTGTTTCTATAAACATAACCTCTAGCAATACTTAATTTTCCTATTATCKTACCATGATTTTAATTCCAGAACCACTGGCTTGTATTTTGGACAAGAACTTACTTTGCAGTTAAGAAATKGTAGTGAAAGCTAAGACTTACACTTTTTTTTAATACAGCTACATAGGGCATAACCCAAAAGCCTTAATTTTGGTCTACTCAGAAGTTAGACTTGACAAACTTGGCTTTTTTATTTTTTTTTTTAACTATGGGGATGTTTTCCTTTTTTTGTGGGGGAGACCTTGAGTGGGCTGGGTCCAGACACAATGGGAAAATGTAGTCAGGTAAGGACTGATTTTGTAAAGGTGGCTACAAGGATCAAAACTTATCYTATAGCTGGATTCTCCCTGAAGGTGATTCATTGGCTGTGGAGGATGCTGGAATATTGCTGATGTAATTAGTAAAATTTTATCCATTTTTCCCAAAGGGCTAAGACTAACCATAGTGGAGGAGTCTCAAGACTCTAGGTGGAATTACCCTGACGTGAGATGACTCTGGGAGCAGTGAAATTCTTGCATGGGCACTCGCACAACCGAGTTCACAGAAAACCAAAGGTCGGTGCAGTGACCTATCCAGGTAGGTCTTTCTGCCAGACCCTATTTAATATTGTGCACTTATGAGCCTTGAAGAGCCATCACACTTGGTATCTTTCTTCCCCATCATAGTCTTCCTTCTTCAGCAATTTGTACTGAAATTAGTTTTATGAGCAAACAAAAATCCCTGTAAAGCAGGGTGTGAGTTGTATTTTTCCAGCAGCTCCCCACCCCAGGAAGTAACTATGGCATGAGGTAGTTTATAGTAAAAGGACAAAGGGCAAGCAAACCGTCCCTTGAGAAAGTTCCTGGGGATGTATGGGCTGAAAACAAAGCTGCAGAAGTTAGGTTTCTCTGGCCTTTGAGGGTGGTAATCAACACATGCTCTGGAGAAATGAAATGGGTGGCTTTAGAGCCCTCTGACTCTGGAAAGAATTAGTCAAGGGCAGTTCTTGGCAAGTGGTGCAACCGCTAAGCTATTGCGCAGAAGCTGCATGGCGCCCTCCTGGCCCAGGAGGTGACTGTGGTCATCTTGGAGCTTGGTCCTGCCAGACACCATYAGCCTCCTTTTCAAGGCACCGCTGGCTGAACTGAGGGAGATGCTGCTCAGGCCAGGCCAGTTCCACCAGTGTCCACAACATGAGGTAGCCAGAGAACTTCTACAGTGAGAGAGGCAGAGACCAAGACGTGTCATGGGCCCTTCAGGAGATTCAGTGCAGACAGTTACACCCACATCCTACTGGCAGTGCCCATCTATTTTACCGGCTTGTACCCTTAGGTGTTACTTCTAATAGAAATATAGAAATGGATATATTATCTACATTATTAGAATGTGAAAGCATAATCTATTTAAATGAGGTTTCTGCAGCAGGGTAACCTGTACAAGACTGACATCTACTGATTTATATACTAGTAGCTGCTAGACCAGTATACAAGACTGCCAAGTACCCTATCCCCTACTAAAGGACATACCCCAACTGCTGCTACAAGCTAGGCTTCCTATGTGGTTTCTTAAAGACAAGGTCACTTATTTACTTTCTTCAAAACAATTTGTTATTAAAATGAATTTTATTCTTAAGTGGATAGTTCAAATGTTAGTTATCCCTGATGAACATTTCCAATCTCTTGCAGTTGCAGAAGGGGTCATTTCACCTAGCTGCACGTATCAYTGATCCAACAAATTTTACTTGATGTTTTTTGAAAAAAATGATTTTACAAAGAGTTATTTTACTAAGAAAAATCTCTGCAAAAATAGCAAGAGGTCCAGTATGTTGGAGCTGGTTCAGCACAAACACCTCTATTGTTAAACAATGCAAAACCCCAGAATCTTCTTTATGCCAGGTGGTGGTGTTAAAATTCTTCTTCAGCTTGTTTGCAGCGAGAGCGTTTCAGTTCCAGCAGCCTCTCCACCGTGTCAGTAATTGTGCGCTCACCATGCACCTTGTTATCTCTAGTGCGAATATTTACTGTTCCACTGGCCTTCTCCTTTTCACCAACAACTAAAAACAACCAAGATGCAAAGAGAAAAAAATTAACCCTTTCTCAAGCATTTTTTCATTACCATAAAAATTTTAAACAGAACTTCTACAACGCTTAACCACCAGCACAAGTCCTCCTTTGCCCTCATCCTCTCTCCTCAAACTTAGATCCGTAGTAGCCAATAGCCTTCTTATTTAATCACATTTATTAATTAAATTACATTTCTTTAAAAGGTTTAGTGTATTTTTAGTATATTACAAATAGCAGCTTAGCAAAATATAAGGGGAAAAGTTAACTGAATAAACGCAGCTTGACTTATTTCCTTCTACAGGCAGCCACAAAGCTGAAATAAGTCTAGGACTGCTTTATAAGCAGAGGTTAGAAAGACAGTTTGATAACCAACTTTTTTTCAAATAATTTTATAGAGCAAGGTCATTTACTAGAATAATTCTGAGTTAGTTGTTTAAATTAAATATTAAGATACACAAACCAAGATACTCTCTGTTTGTCTCATTACTAATATAAATTTTACAGGATATAGTTGGAGGCAGCAACAGAAGAAGCCTGTATGAGGAAGGCAGTACTTCAAATCACACACTTGAAGGTCAGTTTCTAATCGTCCCTGCATCACCCTGTCTTGCAAGACTTGCTTAGCTCTAAAGTGCACCACACCTGAAATAGGAGGGCAAAATACTAAGGGGAAAAAAAAATATATCAATCTACTTGACAAATGAAGGGGGTTCCACATGTGCTTCCACACTAATGAGCAGAAGGGAGCAAAATACTTCCTCTAAAGTAGAAGTAAAGACTTGGACCACTCTTCAGTGACCCCCTCCAACTAAGAGCAGTACAAGCAAGGACTGCCCATCATGCAGACAGTGGAGGCTGAAATGGAGATTTTTAGGAGTAAAATGGTCTAAACACTGACTACCAGCCTCTCTCTTGCTCACAGAAGAAAAAGCTACATCAGATCCTAGTCCTATTCAAGACAGCCAACATGAAATAGCATATGCTTTATACATTACCTAGAATGAAGTTATACTGTGCAAGCTGAGCATTCCTGATCTTCTTGTTCAGCGTGCACCCAGGATCTACATCAACATCTGCCATTAATCCAGCATCGTGGAATTGCTGTCTGACCTAAAAAGTATTTAACATTAAAAAATACAGGATTTTTTATGTGTGTGATGATGAGCTATTTATGAATTGTAAGTTTAACAAGCCAGTCGACTTGTCCAACTCCTAAACCAAAGACACCACTCGGTCGGGCCTTGGAGATGAGGCTAGTTCAAGAATGTGAAAACACATCAGCTCTCAGGAGTTCATACACCCTAAATCACTAAGCAGTACTCTGAGACCTGACCCGTGGGGCTGATTAGAGACTTGAATTTGGCATGGAAAAAGACAAGTGTCTGATGAAGATTTTACTTCGAAGACTTTTTAAAAAACATATTATATCCTTGAGAACTATAGAGAAGAATGTCAGCTGGATGCAGAAAATGCAAAGATCCAGCTCCATTTTTCTTATTACTGTGCAAGAAGCTCGGGACCAGGGGCGACTGTGACTTGAAGAGGAGGAGATTTTTTTCTGTCTGAAAAGCTAAACTTTCCAATAAAACCATCACCAAGATCAGCAGTTTTTGCTTGGATACCCAATATTTGTTCCAAGTCCTTTCTAAAATCCATCTACAATTTCAGCAGCTTAATTTGTTGCCATAGTACTATACAAATGCTACAACATAATATGCAAAAAATTAGCACTAATAACCAAGTAGCTCATCTAAATACAGTATTTCTGGAACACACAAACATGCAACTTCACCTTTTGAGCATATTCATCACAGGTTGGTCCCACTGGTACCACCATTACCTGCTGTGGGGAGAGCCAGAGGGGCCTTTGAAAACAAAAGAACACAAGTTTTACAACTTTTAGTATTTTTCAATATAAAATAGCCTATCAATACTCCACTTTAAAATGGCCAGCAATAAATAAGACTAAAATATACCCTACAGATTCATTAAGCCACTTTCTTAGGTTGTTTTCACATGTAATGGCAGCCCTAAACTCAAGTCACAGTTCATCTCCCTAAAAACTTAAGTGTCTAAAAAAATATTTTGGTGTGGGCACAGGTACTTAATCACCTGAGGTTTCAACTTGTGTCCTACAACACAAAAACTGAGTTGTTAACATTTTTTTTCCCCATGGTGAATGATAATAAGCTTAACTTTGGAGCCTCTGTAGTAGTCAGAGGTCATGCCTGCCAGGTGYAATGCTGCAGCAGGTTAAGGATGGTACCTACACAAATGACTCTAAGACAGCCCAGCTGCATGGACAAGCAGAGAGATGCATGGGTTGCAGAGCTAGGTTGTACATGCTGCACATGCAGGAGTGGTATCACGTACTGGCTACCACGTTTGGGATTACTTAACACCTCAGGAATGTAGTTTAGGAAGAATCACATCATACAGCACAACTCTGAAGCATGTAAGTAGCAGTAATCCTCTCCACTCTTCCATACTTTGGGCCAATTTATCTTCTACTACATAAAATCTTTGCTCAAATGGGAATAATAAATCTACTTTTCAACATTACCATTTGCCACCGTAGTTTTCAGTGAGAATGGCAATCATTCTTTCCACAGATCCCAAGATAGCCCGGTGAATGATAACTGGCCTGGTCTTATCGTTACCATCATGGCTGTGAAGAAAAATTTTTGTTTTTAATGTTAAGCTGTGTCTCTTTTAAAACATATGCCTGTAGTTTCCAGACAAGCAAGATTATACASCAATTAAAAATATGAACTATTTTACTCACCTGACAAAGGTAAGGTTAAATCTGACTGGCAGCTGGAAATCTAGCTGGATTGTAGCACACTGGTGGTAGCGACCAATGGCATCTTTAATCTGAATGTCAATCTTAGAAACAAAAGACAGACTTTTACTGGAGTTTAAATACAGGCATTTTCCTGTGAAAGCAAATGCTTTTAGACAGAAGACTTGGAGTAGGACAGAAGAACTACATATGATTTTAGACAACTTTAATTTTGTCCTACTTTGGTAATTAAATGATTTAAAAAGTCTGATACAGATACCTGTCGAAATGAAAAAAAAGAGGCAGGCAAGTGGCATTAYTTCAGAGGGAATCCCATTTAATACATTACACTCAGGAGTTTCAATCTGCTTTGCCTGGACTTTCACAGGCTTTTTTACTGAAGAAAATTCAGCAGTACATCAAGGAACAAGTACATATGCACTGGATCAGAACTGAACATCTCTCACTGAAAATATGACTTCTTCAATCTGAAGATGGGAAACTTATGTTTGTTATACAGTACTGGAATAGATGGTAGCTTGTGTGGTGTATTCAGAGCATAGGTACAGGGATCAAAATCCTTGTGTTAGATAATCTCTATTTTCATAGGCATTCCATTAATTAATAACTGTCTATGTGACTATCTCCACTCAAGCCTATTCTTTCMTCTGCATCCGAACAGCTTTAATCCTGAGCACACCTGTAATAGAAAGTGGCACAAGAAGGACGACCAACCAACATTAGACTTAAAGTATCTGGACCTTATTTATTTGGCATATTGCTTTCTTAGTCACCACTTYACCACTCTGGCTATATGTAGAAGTTGTGCTCTTTATTGTGGTTTATATATTAGATATATTTACAACCTTCTATGGATTTCAAATCATCCAGTTACAGAGTAGAAAAAGGCTTAATTACTTTAAAGGTACCCTAGAATGTAGAGCTTCAGTTAAGATATAACTAACTTCAACCAATTTCCATTAAAACCAGTGCAACAAGCTACGTGCCTGCTCACTTCACTTAAACTGGAGTGTACTAGAACTAAATATAAAGTTAATTAAGGTAGTGTTCCTGCAGATATTTGCCTCCTTTCAAATCAACTGAGGAAATTGCTAAATCCTGTTTGCATTTCATATTGTGAAAGATTAGCTGCTGTAACACATTCCACGTACAACYTATAAAATGAAATTGATTCAATTAACATACAAAGAAATCAGAATCAGTTTACTAAATGAATTAATGTAGACATAAATGCAGGTTAGGTTTATTAGAGAAAGATCTACAYGTAATTTTGTAATACTCTGTGTCCTCATGTTTAGAGATACAAGTGAATTTCTAGTGTCCTGTTTAACCTGTGCAGACTCGGACATATTTTAAAAATACAAAATCAATCCCAAGGTTTCTTTTTAAATACCAAAACCCAGTAGCAACTTTAAAAAAAAAAAAAAAACTCTGCCCATAAAAGGGCATATATTTATTTAATCTATAAATCTGCTCAATATTTTTTCTCAGTGCTTGTTTCACATGAAAACAWAGACTTATTTATCTGCATTATGATTCTGTGTTTGCTGAAAAATATATTTCTTATGTAGCTCTTCCTCTGGTAGCTCAGATCTGAGACTGCCACCTTCTGTTCATTTCTTTCACTAAATTATTTGGCTGCTACCTAAGCAGAGCTGATTAGTTTGCAAAGCAGAATATTTACTAGATGAAGCCTTTATCTTGCTCAGGTATCTATCTTGAAGATGCCTAACACTTTCTTCCTGAAGAATTCAAACAGCAGAAAAYAGTTTGTAGAGACTAAGACCAATGTAACAAAGTTACACGAGGTCTGTTTTTTGCTTCGGCTCATCCACTTTACTGCAGAAAATTGCCACTTGCCCCCCATCTCTGCTGTCAGGATCAGAGTAGCAACAATGAAAAACAAGGAACCAAACAGAATTAAAAGCTAAACCTACCAAGAGAACGATTGTAACATACTAACCTTAGGTCCATAGAAAGCTCCATCACCAGGGTTTAATTCCCACTTCTCACCAAATTCATTGAGGCTGTTCTCAAGTTGCTAGGGATAAAGGACACACACACTCAGCATTTCTCCCCATCATTTTCATTTACAGTGTTTCAGTGCTACAGCATCAGGTCAGCCTGCTGCTAGAGGCACCTAAAAAACTACCACACTCCCCAGGATTTTCTGTTACTGCTGCAACTATTTAAAAAACAAGTAGACAAACTACTGCATGTATTTTGGAAGAGGCCAATAAAAGCAGTGTTGGCTATAATAGAAGTAGTTTTTATCCTAGATTCAATTCCATTCCTGCCCCATCTTCTCCCTGTCAGTGTAGCTGCAAGGGCTAACCTTGTCACTTGGATCATCAAAGCAAGCTGGTTTTTGGAAGCTGGCTCTGAGACCTATTATACTGGATGGCAACAYTGGTTTTCTTTCTCCTCTAAGTTTATTTTGGGCCAAAAAAAGTAGATTTCTTCAAATGGCAGTTTGTTTCTAACAAGTCAATTGTATTGAGAATATAATCTCTGTGCAGAAGGAAAACATACAACAAAAGCCATTTCTAGAAGGCAGGCAGAGAGACTTAAAGAGTTAATGAGTTATATTTCCAATACCCAGCTATTATGTATTGTWAAAAGGGGATTTGTTCTTTTGAGTGTTCCAACTGCAGTCTAGTTTTCATACAAGAAAATCACTTTAAGTTACTGTTTACCTTCTCAGCTTGATTCCATACTTCAATATCTCCAAGATACTTTTCAGGACGAGTGGAAAGATTCAGTTTGAAGGAAAATCCAAAAACGTCATAAACAGTACGCAAAAACTGCAGACAACTCTTTATCTCCTCTTCAATCTTCATGGGGATGGAAATAAAGCATCAGCTATGGCAAACTGAGTTACYTGGATTTTAAAACACAATTTCATGGGTAGCTGCAGCCCATACCTGCTCCATGGCACAGAATATGTGAGCATCATCCTGCTGGAAGCGACGTACTCGAGTGAGGCCGGTTAGAGCTCCCGACAGTTCATTACGGTGCAGGACCCCGAAATCAGCCAACCGCAGCGGCAGCTCGCGCCACGATCGCGGGCGATGATCAAACATAAGGCTGGAAGAATATTTTGCTATTTGAAATCCATCCAGTATCAAAGTTTTGCAAAGAATGGACAGTAYCTGAGCTGGTGTCCCTACCTCCAACCATGAGATCTGAACAGTGAGCATTAGTGAACAGTATCTAGTTTTTTAAAGGAAAACAAATTCAGATACTAAGAGACTTCCCCCCACACATACACTGAGGGTACAATAGCTCCTAAAACTGAACATGAAGACCTGGATGGCTGAATTGCCATAAAAAGGATAATGCTCAGGGATCCATTTTGGATACTTGTGGCACGTGGATAAGTTAGTTCTTATCCTATCTGAAAATACAGCCCTTGTAACAAAGGAATAATGGTATTCCTCAATGTTTCAATATAAAGAGCTCACACACTCATAATTACATTGCTGCTGACAGCACACCAAATCAGGTGCTTCTTTACAATTAAGCATACAAAACAAACTAAGCATTTTTTTTAAAGCAGCAGCATCTTGATAAACTGGGTTTCTTATGCATTTACCAGTGTCCTGGGCAGTTCATAGGCTTCAGAGCAAAGATTTCTTTCTCCACTTCAAAGGAAAACATGTTGTCACTATAATGCTGCCAGTGCCCTGATGTCATCCATAATTTGCTGTTGAAAATATTTGGAGTGACAACCTCCTGGAATCCACGTTTTCGATACTCACTCTATAATAACAGACCAGAACAGAAAATAATTTAGAAAATAAATACATGCACAGCCACAGAATATGCAAATGTTGTCCTCCAAAATCCCATGACTCAATAAAAATGTAAACAAAAGAAGAAAATCTGACCTTTCTATGCCTTTTTATCTCTGTAAGGCAGTAGTGACTCAAGCTGGACATGCCAGGCTACCTCCTTTACACAAGCACTACCCTCCCCCAAATTTTCATCTGTGCTAAGCAAGAAGAACAAGTTGATTCCTGCTAAGCAAAGCAGCAGTCTCTAATTATATAATGACATTTGATACTACCCTGCAACCCAAGTATATGACAATAAGACACAGAGATTTTAAATATTACAACAGGGAAATCAGGATATTTTTCTTAATTATAACAGTTATAGTTATAATAGTTATAAACTATCAGTTATATAGTTATAAACTATCAGTTTATAACAGATAGTTCTACAATGCCAAAAAAAGCAAATCACTACTGCCCCGCCACCGTGGCATATTTTAAGTTCAACAGTTTTATTAGATCTCAAAGAATCCGTAACATCCATTATACAGCTTTAAATGGAGGTAAAGCTCTGATAAAAACCACCTTAATTTAGCAAAAATGACTAGTTCAAAGAAAGCAGGTTACTTCTGCTCACTGCTTACAAAATCCGTAATTTTAAAATAGCAGTTTAAGTCTATTTATACTGTTCAGTGTTCTTCCAAAATTGAGAAATTGCTTCTGTAAAAAAATTTCTAAAAGAAATTACTCACCCGGATGAATTCAATTAATGTGTTATAGATGTAAGCTCCTTTTGGCAAGAAAAAACAGCTGCCAGGACTGAGCTCATGGAAGAAAAACAGTTCTTGGTCCTGAAAAAAAAAAAAAAAAAAAAAAAAAAAGTATTTGAACAGCCAGTACTTTCACCAACATTCATAGACAAGTTCCTACTGATCAGGTATCACTACTCAAAATTTTAAAAGAGTGAAAATCCAAGTAAGTAACGATAGATGTATTTCCATTTGTATTTTTATCTCTAATTAGTATTGACTTTTGAAGGAAAATATTGTTTTCTATTTCAGTACTGATGCTCCAAATTTTGTTATTCCTGTGTTTACATGCAACTACCAACTGTGCCTCCAAAGTTCACTTGTTGCATTGCCAAGTAGGAGCTAGCTCTGCTGCTGCAGCTCCCTCGTAGCTTGCACACGTATTAGAAGTGTGAACTGCATTAAGCTAATTTTGTGACCAACAGGAAGCAGCACGTGTGCTTCAGGACAGCACATAGTGAAATTCTGCTCTGTTCTACTGGTGCCCAAGCAATAGACTTTGCACCAGTGTGTCCAGACTATCAATTAGCTGATAGAGGTTTCCATCAAAAAACAAACAAAACCCACAAGAACAACAAAATAAGCAGAAAGTATTCAAAGAGAAAAAGCTAGCAAGAACACGATCAGCAAAAATGCATAATGCATGTCAGGACTAAGCAAAAAGGAAAATGCAGAAATGCACTATTAACTGTAGCGTCACACAGAAAAAAAGAACTGRGAGCAAACAGGCTGCAGCAGCTTGTATAGGAATAAACTCTTCCTACAGATTGGAGTGTTCCTGTTTTGTAATGTTTAACCTGTGGAATAAGGATACCATGGTGTTTGAAACAGCAAAATCTCTAAATAGAAGTTTTGTTTGCTTTAGAATTTTTGATGCTCAGTTGCTATAGAAAATGCCTGGCTTTGCAAAATTACTGAAGATACAAACATGTCCATCTTGGTTGCTCCAGAAATACACACAGTCTTTGAGATGCTTCTAGTTATGAGGTTACATCCACAAGGTGTTTGTGAAATATATTACAAGAAAAGCTGTCTCACCCGCCCAATCTTTCTGTGATCTCTGTTCTTAGCCTCCTCCTGGAACTTCTCCCATTCCTTCAGCATTTTCGCATCTGGGAATGAAATTCCATAGATCCGCTGAAGGGATTCCATATCCGCCTTGCCTTCCCAATACGTAGAAGAATTCTGCATGCAAAAATTAAATGATGCAATAAGGACAGGAAGCAACTCCATATTTTACTATCACAGTCTCCTGTAAAAAGCCATGAAAKTGGCAGTATCTGTATTTAATGGAGAACACCATAGCACAAGAGAGGAAAGCTTTAATTTCAAAACTGAAACATTGATGAAAACTAAACATATGCCAAAAACTTTACCGATTTTTGGCAGAGACAAATCCACAAGGAATAAGGGAATAGATTCAAAGAAAGGTTTTGAGCTCTCCTTTYTTTTTTTTTAAATCTCACTCCCTCTGTAGGCATGTTCTTGCAACTGTTCTTGTTCTCACTCAGCTATAACCCTTAGATGATATATAAGCTCCAACAGATTCAGATCKGCCGTGCCCTTTTCTTAGGCCTTGCTCACTTTCCTACCCACTGCTGGCAGTGCTGGCTCTGGCCACCTAACTGGGCTTCATGCCAAAGATAATTTTCACAGCACACAGCCCTATCACAACTGGTTAAACAGTTTAGGGCTAGGTTACCCACTTTGAATTACACTCTTGGATTTCCCACAAATGTAYTGTCCCAGCAACATATTTCCAGTGAACAGATTTGTTTCATTCAGTTTCAGCACTTACCTTATGAATTTTTATAGCTTTTATTTTGCCCGTATGTCTGACATGAGGGCCCCTGCACAAATCTATCAAAGGGCCACACCTAAGAAAAGGAAACATTAATTTAGCATATTTCATCCTAGAAAGCATTGTCCAATAGTATTACCATGCATGCATTATTACCTGTACACTGTTGTGGTTGCAGTATTGACCTTCTCATTCAGAATCCGACACTTGAATTTATTATACTGAAAAGAAAAACAGCACACACTTTTTTAGCTACTTATTAAGCGTAAGATTTAAACAGCAGTTTAAACTATTTGCAAATCTTTTACTCTCTTTCATCAAGAGAGGATTATACAAACAGGAAAATGAGGGAGAGGGTAAAGGATGAGAGAGGGAGAGGCTCTGCTCATGTAGTGAAGCAGGTTACTTGGAGAACAGGTTGTGCAGCCTCCAGCCTTACAGGTTTACCAGACCCGACTGGACAAAAGCCTGAGAAACTTGGTCCAGTTTTAGCGATGACCTGCTTTGGGCAGGTTGGACTGGAGACCTCCTGAGGCCCTCTAACTTGAAGGACACTGTCATGCTCCTGAGAGATACTCTTAGAATTCCTTTAAGTGTAGAAAATCTAATCTGCATTGCTAAAAAAACAGAATTATACTTCAGCTCATTTTTATTTGTGATATTAACAGTAAAATCTCATAAGAACACATCTTTAAAAGTTAAAATTAACTGGACTTTCCTTCCTCTACTGCTAATAGAACTTGCAGCTCAAGCTACATCCACCCACAGCATAACTGTGCGATGCAAAGAACAACCTTCTACATCAACCTACCTTAAACATTTCGAGCAAGGTTTCCTTCTTAACTTCCAGTCTTTCAAAGGCTTGTTTCTCCTTCATGATCTTCTTGCATAAGGCTTCTAAAGCAGAGAAGTCATTACTGGATACACCCCTAAAATAAACATACATGAAAGTGAAACAATCTTATTTCACTTTCTGTTGCTGACCGGGGACTGCTTTTGCAATGCACTGACTTGCAGACTGGATGTACTGCAAGGAACAAAGCATGTCACATCTATGATAGGAGTGATGACTTTGTCCCAGGAACAAGCAAGTAAGTAACAAATTTTGCTGCATTTGCACTGCCCCCACTTACAGGAAAAAAATATAAATAAATACCTACCCATCCTCAAGAAACATGTCATAATAAAATCCACTTTCTATCGGTGGGCCATAGCACAAACATCCACCATAGATTCGCTCCATGGCTTCACCCATGATGTGGGCGCTTGAGTGCCAGTACACCTGCAAGAAGTCACAAAGGAGGGCTGAGTCTGAATAYGCACAATGCATTTCCAAGTATTTCATTTAAAATCATTTCTAAAAGCTTGCTTTGGAAGATGAAGATGCAGATCCCATATTAAAACAGTCTGTAGAAGTGATCTGCTTAGCAACTCCCTCATCCAAAGCATTGATATTTCTAAAAAAAAAATAACACTGCAAAGTTTCTGAAAATAATTCTATTTTCAACTACTATTGAAATAATGCTTGTCCAGAATTTCAGAAAATACTTCACCAACTGTTTCCATGAATTTCAGTCAAACAGCTCTGGTGATGTGCAACCTGAAAACCATAAGGTGTGCTTGCAACATAAAGCTTTGGTCTTACAAGTTATGCGTGCATTGATGTAGAACACTTCATCTTGTACTGCGCCTTACATTTTTACAAATTAAAATCAAAACTAAAAGCAGACCTCTGTCTGCTTTTCTTTGCACATATCAGAAAATGTACATGTAAATGCAACTTTTAAAAGTCTGCATTTTCCAGGTAGACCTCACTGGAAATGTACCTTTACCTGAATGAGTAGCCAAAATTAAGTATGTACTTTTGGTACACGTAAGTGCAGCTTACTCAGTTCTCTTATGTTTGTAACTCTATACTTTTGTATGCAACAGTGCTTTTGCAGTGAATGCTAAAGAGCTTGGTTCAGAACATATTTCTGAACATATTACATTAAGGCTGCAATATAAAATCTTAATGAGAACAGATGTGACATAACCTATAGCAACTGCAAATAGAGACTTGGCTCTGAATACACAGTAGAATGTCTTATCATTGCTAGTATCACATCTCCCTCCAAAGAAGACAATACAAAATTTCAGATGTACATGGAAAAAAAAAATCATTCTCTCACCTTCATCTTTTAAATGTATGAGAAATATTAGTAASTAAGGGAGGTTGAGCTTAAAACTTGTTTATTCTTGGGTTTGCATTAAAGGAGATACTCACTGCTTGAGCTTCTTCATCTTCAAACTTGAGCAGCTCCAGAGTACAATCCTCCTCTAAAGGACGGTCTAGATCCCAAACCACCTTGTTCACTTTAGCGATAACAGTATTGTCAGCTAAGCCCTGGCTGCAAAAAAAATAGGTGGCACATAAGCTTTTGAAATCAGCGAGCAAAAGACCCCCCACAAAACTTCCTCTCCTCAAGTCCATACAAACCAGCATGTGCTAAGATTCAATCTGACCATTTGCTAAATTTCTYAGCAAACTAGTTCTTAAGGCAACTGCAGTATTCACTGAGAAAGATACAAAGCTACATGTCTACGGGATGCCACCTATAGAAGTATTTAATTTTAGAAACTATCTTCGTAATGCAAAACATCAGACCTCATAATTAAAAAGCTATGGGTTATTTCCAGTTTTTTGACAGAAGATCTATTTAAGTAAATTGAGATAAATAACAGAGTAACATTAATGGTAACAGCCATAACCTGCAGATATAGACCTATCTGAAAATTATTGATTAAATCACAGATTAGAATCATCCTAAATCACAGAATAGAATCACACCTGATTCCACAAGCAATTTGGTAAGGGGTGGTCTTCCAGGACTCGGCATCAACCTGCTTGCCATCAGGCAGTGTAACTTTAATGGGTTTACTCTYGGTGGCCGCTCTTTCTGCGAGAAGTGCATCATGTTCAGCTTTGAGTTTATTATACAGCTCTAAACGCTCACTGATAAACGCAGGCCAGGGGTTCAGCTATATAGAGAGAATAAAGAGAAAGAATTCAASAGATTATGGGAGTAATCTAATATCATATGATGTCCTGAATGCAAATAKAAGGGATACACTTTTCACAAGGAGCTCAGTGGTCTAGGAATCTCAGTTCTTCTAACTTGGGAAGCTGTACGCAATAACTCTTCCCAAAACGAAGCATGGATGCTGATGATTTTTTTTTTAAAGAAAAGGAATATGGAAATATTTTGAGCAATGTAACAAAAAATTAAGAAGAAGGGCCATCCCAGAGACCACTCAAGGTAACAGAAAATGGGCAATCTGACACTTTATAACAGTACTGAAAACACTTTTTCAATTATAAACAAAAAATCTTTAAGTATTTCCACATTCTTCACTGAAGCTTGGAATATAGCATCAAATTGTTAAAATTAATTTGTATTATACATGCCAGTTAATCAACATTTATCTTTTTATCTACATATCTCCTCTTTCCTGTTTTCATCTGTCATTCTCTCATTTTTTCATCCTTACTCCTTCAGTCTCACTCAGGGGCTAAGGCAATTTAAATTATGCATCTAATAAGCAACAGCCACCATTACAATTTAACTATATATTAGCTATATTAACTATATTAGCTATGTATTAACTATATAGCTGACTGAGAGTTACTGCCTTCAAGTGCATCACCCCACACCTGCCTAACGAGACCCACAGACCCGCTCTGCCTGCACAGGGACGTAACTTGCTGTCAAACAACGTCATTTTGGCACAGATTTTACTGAAATTGGAAACAGCAGGAAAGGGAACGCAATAACCCCCAGTGCTACACAAAACAACCCCCTCCAGGGTGAACTGCGGCAACACCACCGGCGCACGAGGCAAGGGCCAGGAAATCGCACGTTTTACCGCCGTTAAAACGCGTTCCAACGCGCTGCCACGCGCAGCTCACCTCCGCGCGCCCTTCCTCGCCGGCCCCTTCCTTCGTTTTCTTCTTTCCGCCGTCTCCCTTTTTCCCTTCCTCGGCGTTTCCCTAGGGGAGCGAACACCCACTCTTCCCACACCCGGACACACTCTTCGCGTTTCACCCCGTCCAGCCCCACAAGGCGAAGGGAGCCCGAGCGCCGCAGCCCCGGGAAACTCCTCACCCGGCTCTGCGCCGGGCCGCTCTCCCCCTACCCCTCCCGTGCCCCGGAGCAGGGGCGCTCCCCGCCTCCTCGCACCCCGATCGCCCTCCCGGCCGGCCCGAGCCGCCGCCGAGCCCACCTGGCCGCCCGCACCCGCCATGGCGCCGCCCGCCGCCCCGCAGAGCGATGGCGGAAGCGGCCGCGCGGCCCCGCGCAGGCGCCCTGCGCGCCGCGCAGCTGATGCAACGAGGGGCGGGAGGCGGCCGCGCGCGGCTCTGAGGGGCCGCCGAGCGACGGCGGCGGCCGCGGGTGGGAAGGGAGTAACGCGGGTTCCCCGGCAGCCCGGCGAGCTGCAGCCCCCCTCTAGAATAAAACGCCGCCCCGAGCTCTCTGTTTCTGCGCTTTGATGCAGCTTTTGCCCCGTTTAAAGCCCTCCTCGCTGCGCTTGCACAGAGGCAAGGCTGAGTGGACAACCTGGAGCCCGCCTTTGAAGTGAATTGAAGTTAATAAATCAATAAATAAGTGGAAGGCAATGAGGGAAATCTGTCTGGTAACTTGCACAGGAAGATGCTGGTGGGAGGGTTAGGTTTTGCCTGTGGGCAGCTAGGCTGGTTCCCTCAGCCCCATCCGGTGGGGAAATGGGGCGAGAGTGTCCTGRTATCTGTAAAGAAAGGCTACAATATTCATGGCTTCTTGTCGTTGTAACCTTTCTTCACCCTTCCTCCYGGTGCTGCTTTCATGGAAAAAAAATAATACTTCAATTTAGTGATGTTGTGGCACATGTTTGTAGCACTCATGGCTCCGYGAGGGAAGGTTGTTGCCAGGCCTTGGGTACCCCCGCTAAGCTCATCCAGCAGCCAAGCGCCAGCCAAAGAAAGGTGTTTATCACAAAATTTCACATTTGAAAGTGATGCAGGCAGAGCCCTGGGTTGGAAGGGGCCTTTGAGGAGGATAAATGAGGGGTGCAGCTCCACTTGGACCCCAGCCGTCTGTGTGACACCAATGCCATCTTGCTTGCRGTCTCCTGAAACAGCTGCCTCCTGCCCATCTGCAACAGAAAGCTGCAATTTCAGAGAGTTTCATCCAGTTAAAATGCTCTTAGATGAACATCAGAGCACCTCAGGTGCCATACATTTAGATGCTGCAAGAAATAATCTTGGAAAGGTGTGCAGTTTAATACAGCTTTCTGATATTGGTTATGTAGAGGTAAACCAAGTTAAGAAAATGTTACCAACTCATTTGGCCACAAAAAGTATATTTAAAAATATTAAAATTGGAAGATGTAGCAAACATGGATTTAAATACATTTATACAGAACAGACTTGAAGAAATTATTTGTTTTCTCAAAACAAAAACAGCATATATATTGAAACATGCATTTAATAATGTATGATGCTGTCTAGTAATACAAGGAATTGTTTTTCAATATGTATTTATAGATTATCAATATCTTCTAGAATATCTTTTCAGTGTGAAGGAATTACAGCTAGCTAAGAGAAAGCATGTTGCAAATGTCATAGATAAATTGTTTTGCCCCSAAATGACCCCCAAAAGGCACTGATACTGTTAAAGAGAAAACAAAAGATCATTCGGTATTCTCAAAGCAATAGGAAGTGTAGCGGAACTGTCTGTTTTGCCAGAAGATGGCAGCAATGGTACGTGCTGTGTTGGAGAAAAAGTAATTTCATGGGATGTCCCATACACAACACTCTGATTCAGACCGTGGGATTTATGGCATAGTGTTACGTGTGGACTGCGAGCAGGAGCTTCAAATATCCTGGATCCCATTTGCTTTCTTTGGTTGAACAGATAACCTCACTTTTAACAGATCTCTTTCAGCCCGTGGTAGGGCATTTCCATTGGATGGCCCCTTTGTTTTATATGTGCCAATTTGCCGTGGCAGTGACCTTTGTTACCCAACTGTAGAATATGGAATAATTGGAATAGTCCCATACAGAACATGCATAAGATGTCAGAGAGGAATCATGCTCAAGCACTGAGGAGAGATTAGGGGAAATTCTGCAATGTAAAGATCTTGTAACTTTTACAGTTGTAAGGACAATGCTACAGTCCTGTTACTCAGCTCTGGTCAACTGTAATCTTTAATGTAGGAAACAGTGTGTTGCTGTGGACATCAGAAGAAAATTGATCATCAGACATGTTTGTGTATGTTAAAAGCACCCTAGTATGTATGTGTGGCATGTATATATTTCATATAGTTTATGTCTACCACAAAGTAATAACCACAATGAGACATCACCCCTCATACTGTTACCAGAAAAAAAAAAAAAAAAAAAAACACTGATTCACGTTATGGACACCAAACTGTTCATCTTCATCTTGAGCAAGTCCCTGCTCGTCCTGGCTGAGGTCTGATGATGCGAGGGTCTGAATTGCCTGCCTAATACAACAAGCAACAAATGCCTTTCCAGAGCYATTCCTTTGGTATACTCCATAAGCATCAATTTCCCAAATTTAGTTTTCTTAACATACTGAATAATAGCAGAAAGGATCTCCAGATACCAACTAATTCTTGCTCTAGCTTTTTGTGCACATGCTCTCTCAGAGATTTTTTCAAAGGAAATGGAAGTCAAAGCAGGGAAATTTTAACTGTGACTCAAATCTGATTATGATCTTCTGAAAATCCCATTTAATCATGTTTTATGGACACAATCCAATGACATTGCTTCAAATACAGAAATACAAGAAAGCTAAAGCAACACTTCTGTTAATGTATCAGCATTGCACTGTGCACTCRCCTTCATTTTTTTATCTATTTAGGACAGTCAGATTCTGCTCTGCAGTGCTATTGCTTTTGTACCTATGCTTTCCTGAAGGGCAAAGCACTGTATGTTGTTATTAAATTGACTGCCTGATTTTAAATGCTCTCTGCTATTTGTTAAGATCATTTGCAATTCTTCAAAGTATTTGCCAGCCCTCTCATCTTGACAAGCTCACAGATTTTAAACATGTATCCTTTCCTCCCTTGCACAAGCTAATGAATTTTTGGACTAGACCCAGACAGAGAGGAGCTACTTAAAATATYCTTCCAGTTTAATTGAGAGTGACTGATAGGCTGCTCTCTAAGCATTTTTTTTTCCAAAAACCAATGCCAGTTTCAGCTAATCATGCAAGCATTCAGTAAGCTAACGCAGACTGTACCGCAGATGTCTTTTAGTTTTAAAAAAGTGATCGCTGTCAGGACTAGCTACACATCTGATAGCTCTCAGGTCCTGCTGATGTGTCCCTTTTCGCTGGACTCCAGCTCTGTCTGCACATGGCTCTCCTGTACCCAAAGCTGGGCCTGGAGAGCAAGACCTTATTCATCATACCTGGTACTGCCAACCCAGCGCATGCTGCTATGATCTTTACTTGAGGCTTTCCTTTCACAATTATAAATGTACAGGGCCAATCTCCTCTCTTACACTACAGTTAAATGTTGGCCCTATGGGTGAACCACAGTAGAATGAAACTT